AATTCTGCATTTTAATTTATTTGGTTTCGTGCTTAAAAACATAAATAAATGCATTTGAAAGTGACCGATACTTTTCCGATAACAAGTACCAAAATTCGACGCTAAGTCACCGCCGCTAATTTGACGCACATTCATCTCGAAGCGTTGGCGATAGGTAAAAACTATTGGAAATTCATCGTCAAATAGTATCGTTCCTGCACGAAACTTGACAATCGTGCTATCACAGCGCCATGGGCAACATTTAATTGCTTATATTTAATAAAATACGCTATTAAGCTGAGAAAAACTACGTGGAATAGACACCACTCCCGACTTATTTGGAGTTGACTTTTGTAGAATAAAAACCCCAAGCATTCATTACAATCATTGCAATGATTGCCGCTTTCTCTTGTAAAAAAAACATTATAGCTGGAAAAATATCGATGGTTCCCAGAAAACCCTCGATGATTGTCAAAATAGCAACATCGATTCTAGCAATAGTTTTCCAGCTCTACAACAGCTGTTCCGGCTTCAGGCTTTTCGTGGAAAGCTTGTCGATTTTTAGTTAATTGACAAACAATCAAAATGAAGAAGCACCATTTTCTTGACTATCGAAACAAACTAATTCTGGCGCCAATGGTGCGTGTAGGCACTTTGCCCATGCGACTGTTAGCCCTCGAAATGGGTGCTGACATCGTGTACACCGAGGAACTTGTCGATCTAAAATTAATAAAAAGTATCCGCCGCCTAAATCGTAAGTTGGTATATATTACAAAAACAGAACTAGGAAAAATTTCGTTTGACATTTCAGCCGCTTTGAGTACAGTAGATTTTGTAGATCCTTCTGACGGCACGATTGTTTTTCGCACGTGTGCTTTAGAAAAGTCAAAAGTAGTGCTACAATTGGGAACTAGCGATGCAGAACGAGCTCTGGCCGTAGGTAAGCTGGTACAGTATGATGTTGCTGGCTTAGATATAAATATGGGCTGTCCCAAGGAGTTTTCGATTAAGGGCGGTATGGGAGCAGCATTACTTGCAGATCCAGCGAAAGCAGCCCATATACTGCGCACACTGTCTTCGCAGTTAGACATACCTGTGACCTGCAAGATCCGCATACTGCCCGATCTCTTAGACACCATAAGACTTGTGCAGCAATTGGCAGTCACGGGCATTGCCGCGATTGGTATCCATGCGCGTACTCGAGATGAACGGCCTCAGCATCGCCCACATCCGGATGTCCTACATGCCGTGGCAAGCGCCGTAGACATACCTATTATAGCTAACGGCGGATCTCGGGATATGCACACGTATGATGATTTGCACAAATTCCAGGCATTGTGCGGCGCTGATAGTGTAATGGTCGCTCGTGCGGCCCAGTTCAATGTGTCAATATTTCGTAAACAAGGCATTTTGCCAGTGGATGAAGTGATTTATAAGTATCTCCGCTTGTGCATTGATTACGACAATGCTCCGCACAATACTAAGTACTGCGTGCAAAGCATCCTGAAAGAGCTGCAGGAAACGCCGCGCGGAAAGCGGTTTTTACAATGTCAAACTCTACAACAGATTTGCGAGATTTGGAATTTGGGTGACTACTGTCGTCGTCGGCAGCAAGAGCTTAAAGATCGCGGAAATGCTGGCCGTGCCAACGTAATACTAACACAGTGTCCTACTAAACGACAAAAGCTCGGGCAGCCTGACAGTTCTACAGACGAGTATCAGGGTGTCATTTACCGCAATGTAGCTTTTCTGCGGTCCACCTACACAAGTGGTAAGCGTGTCTAGAAAACTAATTAAATTTATCCAATTTTTATTGTGACCTTATTATCTCTACCAATCTATATATCTATATATTCCCATTGTAGACACTCAGCTACCGAAGATGGTGCTTTATGTGCACGCGGGTAGAACGAGTAAGCAGCCGCCCTGTTATGAGACGCTGCGCTGCGACAAGCTTTTTCGGGCTATCTGCAGCTATGACGGACAGCGCTATAGTAGCAGCTTCTGGGAGAAAAACAAGAAACAAGCTGAACAGGGTGCCGCATTAGTAGCTTTGCTGCAACTCGGACATCTGAGAGAAAAAACTCTTCTCGACAATGGCAGTCTGATCAGTTAGAATTAGATTAAAACCCCCATAAAAATATTGTTTGTCTATGTTTATGTCGAATTACTTTAAAGAGAAAGGAGACCACTATATTTTGGAATTAACAAATTGACAATTACAATACCCTTTTGAAATGTCATTACAAAAGACAATATAAACACTAAGATGAGTAACGCCCACACATTTAAAAACTATGCAAAATTTCTACCTTGCTTTCCGCTCTTCAAACGACACGCCAGCCAGTCTTCTGCAAAGCTGGTTGATGCGTCGTTTCGTTTTCGAAATACATTGAGCGAACAATTTGCTTAATCCCTGAAATGCATGCTTTAGATGGATGCAACATTCATAATACAAACAAACCTAAAACGAGAAAGAAAGGCTATCTTCGGCACGCCAAAGATCTAATTCCCTTGCAGACAATACTCTCTGCAAGGGTTTAAAAAGCAATAACGCTGTCATATATATATCTTGTATATATATAAGTCACGACTCCGGGCAATTGCAGAGCAGCCAAGTCCTGCACAAAAATGTTTTGTGTTTTGGGTCATTGTCCTAGTAAAACTTGTACTTCTGCTTATTAGTGTTTTGGGGATCTACGAAACCAAACTTTATTGCGTTCCTTGACAATTCATTCTTTAGAATCTCCAAGAAAAACTTCTTCGTCACTACATTGAAAATGGGCAGCTCACCAACACCTTTCGACGATATGCAACCACACCATTACAGAAAGCTAGACAAACTGTACTGCTTGGATTATATTTTTCTGTTCCAAATCTGTTTGGGATATCTCAAAACTTTTCTGGGCCAGTCATGATAGTTAAACATTATTTTCTCTCGTTGCAAAAAAAAAACGTCATACCAGTACTCCACGGGCAATAGAAAAATTTAGCCACATCTGAATATTTCCTGCATACAACAGTGACTTCTTTCTAGGTTTTTGCGAGGAGTACTATTACATTTTTACAGTTTTAGTAACTGTAGCTCATGGCTTGTTTGAGGATTATAATTGATCTGTTTTTAAACTTTTGAATGATCGCATATAGTGAGCTTTGATGGTCTGCCTCCGTAGTGCTCTAATTCTAACCTCTTTTCTTTTTCGGCGTGGTAAATATTATAAATACTTCTTTACCTTATGGGTAACATTTTCGCTATTTCCTTAACAGATTTGCGCTTATGGTAAACAAAATGAATTAGGTTTTTGTTAATTCGTTGGCCAGGCATTGCAGGAAGCACTAAATTAGGCAAGATGTGAACATAGCAATAACTAACTTATTCAATTTTCTTAGAATTGGAAGTACGGTTAGATAGCCTCGGCTCATTTCGAATTCTGTTTGCATTTTGCAAAGCACGTAATGTAAATTGGCAGCGCAATATTTGCCGAATTTTAATTTAGTCTATTTTTCACTTATTCTATTTTTAATTATGGAATTATGAATCTTGTATATATTTATGAACAATAGTTAGAATAATAACCATAGGCGGAAAAAGTAAAGAAAAACAAGTAAGAGGTTCTAGTCGGGAGCTCCCGACTAGGGGATACCCTGAACCCTCTTCTTCCAATATCAAATGCATATATATATTTTATTTTAGAAGCTATATGTGGTGACTCTAGCTGTTATTATTTACCAAAATTGTCCAAAAAACAGGATATCGGTATCGATTCTTATCGATTGCTTGGAAACTGAGTAAGTTATCGATTATCGGAATCTCGATCTGCGCGGGAACTAGGAGCATCTACATCTAAAATTTCAAGTCTCTAGCTCTTCTGAGATCCTTGCATTCATACATACGGACGGACGGACGGACAAACAGTCGGACATGGCTAGATCGACTCGGCTATTGGTGCTGATCAAGAATATATATACTTTATGGGGTCGGAGATGCTTCCTTCTGCCTGTTAGATACATTTGGATTTCGCACAAATACAATATACTCTTATACCCATTTTTAATGGGTTTTTTAATGAGTTTAAGTTAAAATAAATTTGAGTAATGTTTTTCATTTTACAGACAATTACTTGACAAACTGTATTATCTTAGATACAATTGGTAAATTGTCATATTGTCATATTATTTATACAATAACCCACGTGAAGCTCTTGTCTCAGTCAATGGCGTGAAGCAGCTGTGCTTGTATGTGTGAGTACTGCAGTGGCTATTGGGGTCAAATAAATTGATTTTATTAATTTTTTACAGCTAGGCATGACCTATCCAAATTTGTTGTCACATATACACAAATATACGTATGTTGTGAACTGAGGTTGGCTCGGTTGAAAAACCGTATTTTAGAGTTGACGTTATCATTTGGCTTATTTTTTTTTAATTATTAAATATATAACTCAAGAGATTAAAGTACAATAATCTATTAAACTAAAATATACAGTTTAATTTATATTTAAATAGGCTTTTTGCGGTATGGTTGCTGCAATCCAAATAATAATAATTAATGTTAATGAAATTATATTAGCATCGGATTTAAAGATTGATTTTCTACCGAGCCAACAAACAAAGAGTAGAAAATTAACTAAATTAGTTTTTTCGGCAGCAAAGGTCACTGAGAGCATTTTAGCATTTATATTGCCTTTGGTATTACCAATTAAAAAAAATTGAAAAAGAGAAACTTTGTTATGGGATAACTATTTTTCTTAAATCACACAATACTGATATTTGTGAGGGATTTTTTGACGTTGTTATCATTTCTGATTTTAAAATTCGTAGTTACTCTTTGAAAATGTTCCAAAAAGGGTTTCTACAAAGGTATATACCAATTTAAAGGATTCATTTCCAACACCAAACAATTTATAAATTCCTGCTCATTATTAGCTTAATCGATGAAGCCAAAGACAATATTAACACTAAGATGAGTAACGCCATACAACGAAATGCTACTATGCAGCTTGATTTTTTGAAAATTGAGAACGAAAACGAAATCTGTAGCATTGCGCTCTCACAGCCGAGAGAACGAAAAAGCTAAAAATAGAATTTGCTCTCAGCTTCGGCTCTATGAGGGCCGTGCATATTTGAATGTGTTGTTATCCACTGCTCTGGCAGTCTCGGGCTGGCAAAGAAACAATTTTCTTAGTTTTTTAGCGCAGATCACAACCTAGCCAAAATTTCTGTTGATATATGAATGCATTTTGTGTACTGAGGTTGGCTCCGTACAAAATATGTATTTTTAAGTCGATGCAATTATTTATGCAATTTTTTATATTTGAAATTATTAATTTAATTATTATTTTTAAGTAATACAAAATAAATTAAGCAAATAAAAGTGCAAATTTGTTGTTTTCAAAGATACATTTAATTAATTTTTATTTTATTATTGTTTTGTTCGAATTATAAAGAACAAAGTACCCAGGGAACTCCGCGAGGAGGCCATTATAATTATAATGGGGTCATAACTAAATATAACCTTCGAGTCGACTTGAAATGTAATTGTATTTCTTAGCACTCTTTTATTTCTTGATTGGGGAATAAAAATAATATTAAATTAATATTTAAAGCAATTATGTAAATATTTGCATCGACTTGGAAATACATATTTTCTGGGGAGCCAACCTCAGTACACAAAATGCATTCATATATCAACACAAATTTGGGATAGGTCATGATCTGCGCTAGAAAACTAACAAAATTAATTTCTTGCCAGCTAAAGCCAGAGCAGTGAATAACAACACATGCATACATACTTTAAAGTTTTTATGCATGTATAATTCACGCATACAACGAAAGGTGCACGCACGCTATTGGCTGAGACAAGAACTTTTCTCGAGCATACAATGTCCAAAAAGAAAAGTTATATCAATCTATGTGTGCTATTTTCTTAACATAGTTATTGCGCAAGAAGCGCCTTGTGTACAAATTATATAAGTTCTTAAATTTTCCTGTAAAATTAATTGTTAATATCTAGGGTAATATATCATTTAAATAAAGAATGCATATCATGGATAAAGCACAAGCACTTCGCGTCGATCGTAAGCTCTAAACTTTTTCGCTCAATGTGCTTCGAAAACGAAGCGACGCAAAGCAGCATCGACCAGCTTTGCTGAAGGCAGGCTAGCGACTAACTTCGTAGCTCGTGTCAGCATCAGCAAGCCGCGACTTCGGCATTCGTTCGTCTGGTCTTTGGAGAAGGAACAACCAGTCGGCAGGCATGCCGTACAAACCTCAAAGGGCAGATGAAAGGTCAGGCTAGAAATTTTGAGTCGCATTTAAATGTATGGGCGTAACTCATCTTAGTATTTATATTGTCTTTGATGAAGCCATGTCCATATATAAAAAGGCGTCGATATATGAACCTAAAAGAGCCAGACTTGTAATTTCGATTATGTTTCTTCGGTTTTAAAAACAAGTCACCAAATTCCAATTTACCTTCCCGAATACTATGTACACGTATGTTAAGCATCTTTTATTTTATAGCTATTTTCACCCACGCCTAAATGCCTCAGATATAAAGCAAACCAATTTGCTAATTTGAACTACCCACCAATTTTGGCAACAAATTTAATGAAGTTGTCTGTTTAAGAATCAGTAAATAGAGCACAATTAGATATAATCCTGGAAATTTCACCAAGATCGGTTAGGAAACACAGAAATTATTAAAGAAAAGGTATACCTTTTGTACCGTATTGACTTTGCTATCTATGTCTGCCTGTTTCTTCGTTTGTATTTACACGTCAAGCTCTGGAGCTAGACTTAAAATGTTGAAAGTAGGTTCCCATATGACTAATGCATTTCAAGTTTCAAAAGAGTAACGAAACTCTTATCGGCTACTTTATGTATCTCGACTTAATGTTGTGCTGATACCGAGTTCAATGAAATTACTATTGAAAAACGTAATTCGTTTTGTTATGGTTTATTAATTTCCTAATGTGTGTGTCAGGAGTGTCTACGTGGTGGATGTGGTGCAGGAGATGAGATAGCTGCTTAGCATTAACGTCGCTGTACGGCTGGAGGCGGCATCATTGTATGATCATCGCGAAATCCGAAATTCGCAATAAAACTTAGTAGATATTCCTTAGTGATTGGATGCTTAATGCTCTCCACGACGGCTACAAGGATACATTTATATGTTAGCTGTGAACTACATTAAGCTTATAGAAAAACTTACATACGGCGGTGTTAAAACTGTTGGGTAACTTTTTGTCCGTGCGCTCACGCATATAATCCCAATTGCCAAATTGGTTCATAGTGCATTCAACTATTTTGTTGTCTAACTCGCGAATCTCCTTTGTAAGCTTTTGCATACGGCCGAAGGGAGCGTCATGACCGCCCACATAAAGAAAACCAACCTTTTTGGTTAACAGGCTAGGAACATAAAAAAATGGTTAGAAAATAAAATTAAAGGAAATAATTAACACTGTTAGCAATACGTAATCTAAGGCAGCTAATATTTAAATCTTTAAAGCCATCGTAAAGCAGCAGGCTATGGAGCCTTTTTTTTTTTTGCTCGTGCATAAGCAAGCGAGCTGCTTCAGGTTAGAGAAGTGTCAGGGTATTTCCTAGTAGGGCACTCTCGCCCTCAATATCCTCCCTTTATACTTACCGGGAATATGGGCCTTTATTCCTACTTAGATCCATGACAGATTACGATACGAACAACTTATCAAATACAGAACCCATCGGTTTTTGTTTTTCAAGATAAGTTTTAAATTTGAAGTATCTAGCTCTTATAGTTTCTGATATCCACGCGTTCATACATACGGACAGACTAACATGGTTAAATCAACTAGGATATTAGCGCTGTATCCGAGAAGAGCATAATACTAGTTTAAAGCTTCCGATTTGGTACGAACACACCTAGTCGGGCTTTTCAGACTAGAACACTGTTGTCAATCTTTTGTTTGAGAATTATTTTCTTAACTAAACCCTGTCTATTTATATGTAGGCCCCAATGACGTCACCTTCGAAACTAGTTGTAAATAATGGTGTTACTGGCCACACGTTATACAAGTTAGTTTCCTGTAGTGGGAGCGAAATGAAAATCAGCGCTGCCGTTCTATCACACAAATATAATTGCTCTTTAACTCTCTTACTCTTTCAGCAAGTGAGCGAGTTATGGACCCGAACAAGAGCTCAATGACACACAGAAAATAATTAGCCACCCTTTTTTCGTTCTAACTGTCCTATCTATATGTTATATGGTTTAATAAGGATAGCTTTTGACTGCAAGACTGCTACAAAGAAACAGACGCACCCACTTAGCTCGTCCGCCTGTATTGGTGGTGAAATATAGTCAGAATTTATGTTCAATTTCTTACCCTTCGCCACGCTCTGTTATTATTTTAAGACGAAAGTCCACTGAATTAAGCTCATGCGGTTTCCATTTAAAGACGTCGACGCATACGCCGGCTGTGTACGGCTGCTGTGAGGGCTGGAAGATAAGACCATCGGGCTCGTGTGCCAGCGAACGTGAAAACTTTTCGCCCAAAAGACGTGCCGATGTACGTATGTCCCAAAAATCCTTGTTCCGCACACTAAACGGCTCCAGGGCGCGGTTAATGATTCCGTGCTTCATTGCAAGGATGCGTGGACCTGCGACGAGAGTTTATGTTTGTATTTTATGGGTTTACCAATTGAAGTGGATTTGTGCGTATTTAACATCGTACCTATAACATCATTTTTGATATAGTCCAGGCGATGTGGAAAAAAGAACTCTTCGCGCACATCACGACCTGCAAGGCGTACGATATCGTAAACAAGAAATCGCGGCGTTACTGTCTCGCCAATTTTGTCTAGCACCATTTCCTGCAAAAAAAATAAAAAACAAACAAGGTTATATATTTTATTTATTTAGCAAAGAGTGAAGGAGATTTCCTGCACCCCATACCGAGTTGCCATCACAAATATTCTAGTATTCATCTACACATGCATTCCAAATATCACACATACACATACACAAGCACGCGCACGTCGCTTGCTGCTGCTCTGCTTCTTATCCACACACTATGTGAAATAATTCGTGTTTTACTTCAGTATTCGATCTTTATGAAATTATGGCATATTTGTGTAAATACCATCGAATCAAAATTGATTATAGATTTATATCGATTTTATAAAAACGAAAACAAACTTATGCTAGACGACTCTACGGAGAGGCGAAAATGGCTAGATCGACTCGGCTATTAATACAGACCACAAAACCCACATACGCTTGTTAACGTTCTTAAATGGGTATACTGGGTTAAATTAAATAAACATATAAAACTGATAATGATGACGATAACTTACTCCATCTAGCAACGTGCCATCAAGATGCTCGTGCAGATTTTTGCCATTTACAAAGGCCATGGCTTCTACTTGAAAGCAGGAGTTATTGCGATCAAAAAAGTAGATCTCCTTACGTCCATCTATAAGCATCATATACCGTGTCCCGTCAGCCTTCCAAGAAACCCTATATGGCATCTCACTGAGTTTCTTAATATTGTGCCTATCCATTGATACGGGCTGAGCGCCCGGAAAGCCGCTTTTCTGCCAGTTGCACCAGTTTTGCACCCTGTGCTGTAGTTCAGTAACACGCGGCTGATCCGTTACTTGCCTCACGCCAGGTACACCAGCCATAAAGGCTGCATTTTTTACAATCCACTCTCTTCGTCGTTTTTTTTTCTGTGGGCTATCGCCTGTCGCGCAGTCTTCTTCACAATTTGCATTTGAATCGGCATCTTCTTCATCTTCTTCATCTGCTACCACCCCACCCTCAATTGCTGCCGCTGCAGCCTGCGAAGTGGAAGAGTAATTATCATCGTAGTGACGTTTTCTGCTGTCGGTGCCGATGTGGTCGTTGCCACTGCTGTCATCGTACTCCAGACACCAGTTGGGCTGCTCTGGGGCTTGTGGAGCATCTTCCTCATCTTCATAGCGACGAAAGAGCTCATTAATGTAATCCTGCTTGTATATACCAGGCGGTCGTGCATTGGCAAATACGGCAAGTGCAGCTTCTACAGAACAGTCCAGACGCTCCACCATGTAAGAGATAATAAGAAATCCAGTCCGATTAAAACCGTGCGTACAATGCACAGCAATAACATCGAATGGTCGCTCGTTGATAAAGTTGTCAACTAATTCAATAAAGCTGTGAGTTTGCTCCGGTGATGGTGTTTCACCATGACCACGACACTGTAGCTTAATATACTGTGCGCCTCGTTCTTCCACTGTGCTTCTATCGTAAAACCGTTTTGTATTCGTCAAATCAATCCAGAGGCCTAGTTTTAACTGCAAAGAGATAAAGATATAAACAAACATGTAGGTGTGTGATATAACCGACAACTCTTACCTTTAGCGTCTTGCAATAATCAAAGAGCATCTCGGGGCGAAAGGTGCATTCAATGGGCATTTTGTCTTGGAAAGACTGATTTAAAGGCGTCTTGAAGGCGAGAAACCGCTCCGCAATAATTATATCACTTTTTCGTGGACAATAGAGCCAACGGTTAGGTAGCGGGCCTGAGCCCCGTTCGCGTTCGGGCTGGGACTGAGACATCCCGACAGGAGACAGACTAGTTAACTGTATGTGCAAAAATTTGAGAATGAAAAAGACATGCGAATAATGTCTCTGATATAAATTCGCTTTTGCGCGGTTACAGTCAAAGCGGGTATGAATCGCTTTGAATATCGCGTTTTGATTGTATTGTTAATTTCGTCACATTATCTTTAGAGCAGCGCAGACAACTTCAGAAAGTGATTGCTTGCTTCTTGATTTCTTCTGTGTGTCACAATCCATATTACAGGTTTGCGCATGAGCGATATTTTAGAAAACATCGAATTATCGATAGGTACATATTATTTATGGCACGTTTCTACTCTGTGTACGTCTTCATGCTATTCAAAATCGGTGGACGCGAGTTAAAATTGTACGAGCGCAGAGAATTCTGGTCACTTTTAAATTGTGACGTGACAATTAAGGATTTGAGGCGCGTTTCCTGATACCCTTGTATAATTTTATCATTAAATTTGTAACGCAATACTAATACTAATACGTAATACTTTGCCTACTTAAAAGATAGACACATTTCTGTTGCAATCAGTACATATGTCGGAGTCGGCTGGGTCGGTTATCAACAACATAATAACAGCTGTATGGGAATTATCTGTCAAAAAATTAAGTTCTTAAGAAAAACTTATTGGTTTTTTAGTTTTAGTTTCACTATGCTCCTTGCAAGTATACATAATCTTATCAAAATCAGACTATTATATTATATTATATAGCCGCTATGGGAACAATCGATCGAAAATTAATTAAATAATGTATTGGTTATCAAAATATCTTATCAAAATCGAACTTTTAAATAGCTCGAGAGAAGAATCGGTAAGATATTTAGTTTTTGCATGAGGAAAAACATATACCATTTTCCAAAATATTTTTACTCAGCATTTATGAGCTTCACTAAGTTTTCATATATGCAAAGCCGTAAAGCAATCGTATTGCTATGCAATGACAGGAAGTTTTTACGAATTTACCTGTGGCACTATCGGTACAAGCGATATATGGGCGCTATTGAGCTTTCATCGATGGTCTTTTTATTGGCTTGTGGGCAATTTGTTAAGAGACATGAAAAAGGTAATTTAAATTTTCATAACCTGATTTTACTATGGAATTTTTTAATTTTACAATCTTCTTTAAATAAATGGCTGATCGGGTTGATTTGATTTTCAAGTTTTCTTTCCAATAATCAGATAATACGGCCTCGTAATAGTGGCTCCATGGATAAGATATGGACAACTTTGTATATTAAAAACTGTGAAATTAGTAAAATTAAATAGTTTAATAAAAAATTACCGCTTACCTTCGTTAATATATCAGCTGTTTGTAGTAATTATCGTTCATATTAAATTTTGAACCAATATCAATATATTTTGACGTACAACACCTGTCTGGTTACGCAGTTAAAACAACTGGAGCGACCTCGCAACTGATAAGAGCAGCATCTTAATTTTATCTTATAATACTCGCTCTGCAAAGCAAGTGCCTAAATTTCGCTCTTAAGAATTCATTTACATAGAGCTGCCGCTCTTCGCTGTTACGATCGTTTTATTGCCCTAGCTTTACTTATGCGAAGGCCTCAATGCTGCGCATCGAGTTAGTTAAGTTCGTTCGCTTCATGCATTTGGTACGCATCGGCCCCTTGCATTACTCAAAATTATAACTAATAATTGTCTCTTCGCTAAAATTGGCACGTACTAATTCGGGTTCGCTTGCCTATATACAAACTATTGTTCTTAAATAATAAGCACAGACCAATTCGGGTCTGCCTGCTTCTCGTAACTTTAAGAAATATAAAACAATTTTGAACACAAAAAATAAATAGTTAATTATTTCAATTTGTGAAAGCTATTGAAAAAGCAGTTTCTATGGAAATTTCGGTTCGGAGTGAAATTGCGAAACGTGTCTCAATATTGCCCTGCTCAACATTTCGCGACCAATCTGTGCTGCCCTCGCAGACAGTTAGAGCTAAGGCACCGCCAACACTACCGTCAATAAAGTTGCCTACGTTCAGTGATGGTTACACAGAATGGGCCGACTTTTATTATATTTTCACAACCGTCATAGAAAATCATCCTGATCTAGCAGATATCGAAAAGCTGCAGCATCTTCGATCGTGCCTGAAGGATACAGCGCTGGACGCGATTCGATCATTGGAAATAACAAACGATAATTATACCATAGCACTTAATTTATTGGAGAAAAGGTTTAATAATAGACGTTTGGTTTTTCAGGCACACATACTTGAGATATTGGGGTTCAAGAGGGTGGCAGGTGGATCGGCCGTGTCGCTAAGGCAGTTATCCGACCAATTCAACGCACATTTTCGCGCGTTAAAGGGCATGGGCAACTCCGAACAAATCGCTGGATGCATCATTGTGCAGATTATTTTACAAAAGCTGGACCCAATATCACAAGCCAAATGGGAAGAAAGGCTAGAGGATTCGTCGTTCGTTAATTTAATACCATCGTGGGAGCATATGGCTACGTTTCTGGAGCAGAGATGCCGAACAATGGAAACCGCAAATTTTGCTATGGTAAGCTATGCCCCTAGCCATCAGGTGGGAAAAACTAGAGCAATTAACACCAGTAGATCGTCATTTATCGCCACTAACCACGACGCCCCTGTCTGCGTCTTTTGTGAAAGCCCTGGTCATAGTATATATAATTGTTCTCGATTTGGAAATTTGACCCCTGCATTACGGCTTAGGGATGCAAAACGAGTTGCATTGTGCTTGAAGGCAAAACGAGTTGCACTGTGCTTGAATTGCCTAAAGAAAGGTCATCAATTGCGATCATGCAGCTCTGGATGCTGTCGGACCTGCGGGGCGAAACATCATTCTCTGCTGCATTTAAACAATTCCGTATCTCCGTATGGTCAGCTGACTGAGCCTGCAAATTCATCGCCGATAGCCCATGCCTCTTTCGCTAAGTCATCGCCATCTACCTCCACATCTCTTGTTGCCCAGTATTTCAGTAGTGATGTTGTCGTCTTGGCTACGGCTAAGATCTTTGTAAGAAATCGCTCCGGCACTTTGATACCTTGTCGTGCCCTTTTGGATTCTGGTTCTCAGCTTCACCTTATAAAGCCGCGCCTTGCTCAACAGCTTTCAGCTAAAGAAGCACAAGTCCTCAGCCATTGTCTCTGGTCTAGGAGATTCTCGTTTTGAAACAGAAGGAAACACGGTCACTATCACAATACAGTCTCAAGTCTCTGAATACTCAACATGCCTTACAGCTCTGGTAGCGCCTAACATAACTGATAGTCAACCGAGTTTTACTATCAACACGACGAATTGGAACATTCCCGATAACATAAAACTTGCAGATCCGTCTTTCTTTAAACCTCAACGCGTGGACTTGCTACTTGGAGCTAGCCTGTTTTTCGACCTTCTCAGCGTCGGCCAGATAAGGCTTCTCCCAGGACTACCGTGTCTTCAAAAAACACGGCTTGGTTGGGTAGTTTCTGGAGGCTGACCCCGCTTGAGTGGTTCTATGTTAATGGCAAAGTATACTGCGGGCAAACTTGAGTCAAGTTCTGAAGAACGTGCTGATGAATTGGTTCGAAGATTTTGGGAGATAGAATCCTGCTTGGAAAGTACACCTACCACTTCAAAGGAAGAAAACATCTGTGAAGAACATTTCGTAAAGACTCATATCAGATTGCCTAGTGGCCAATATTCAGTTCGTTTAAGCGAAGTTTGGAATGTCTGGGGACGTCATACCAACAAGCCTTTCGTCGGTTCCTGACCCTGGAACGCAAACTACAAAATCGTCCAGATCTGAAGATTCAATATTCAAACTTTCTAAAGGAATATTTGGATCTTGGTCATATGTCGCCTGTTGCTTCAGAGTCTATAGGACTTTGTCAATACTTTCTTCCTCATTACTGTGTCTTTAAAGAAGACAGTTCAACGACAAAATTGCGAGTCGTTTTCGACGGCTCAGCACCTACCTCGTTAGGTTATTCATTAAATGAACTATTGATGGCTGGACCTGTTATTCAAAGCTCGCTGTTTCATATCCTTCTTCGCTTTCGTAATTTGCCGATCGCAGGAGATGCAGGAGATATTGGAAAAATGTATCGCTGCGTACGCGTTTCAGCACCGGATGATTTTCGCCAATGCATTCTGTGGCGAGTCTCGCCAGAACAGGATATAAAGATTTTTAAGCTGGATACACACGGATTACATACGGAACAAAGCCAGCTTCATTCCTCTCTATCCGTGCTATGCATCAGCTGTCTATGGATGAGGAAACTAATTTTCCAATTGGATCTCGGATTTTGCGGCGTGACTTCTACGTTGATGACCTCATTTCAGGGGGTGATTCAATTCAAGAAGCAAAGGAACTTCTTAATCAGACGGCTGGAATCTTGGCAAGTGGGGGCTTCAAGTTGCGAAAGTGGTGCTCAAACAATTCTGCTGTACTGAAAGGGATACCCGTAGAGGACAGAGAATATTCCCTAAAGTTTGATGATGGTAGCGACATCACCAAAACTCTTGGACTCGCTTGGGACTCAGCGTCGGATCGATTGTTGTTTTCGTTTTCGTCCATTCAGCAGAGATCTAAACCATCAAAAAGGTCAATACTATCGACCATAGCTCGCTTGTATGACCCGCTTGGACTCATAGGGCCGATAATTGCCAAGGCTAAAATCTTTATCCGTCCCAATTAATCAAACTGCCTCAGCCCCGTCAGCTCCTGGCCGCAAAGGTAGACCTGCGCGCAATCTTGCCCAGATTGTTAAAAACAATCATTGTGCCTCGTTAGCTCCTCCAACTCCTGTATTACCTACAGCCCCATCAGCGCCTACTTTAACGGTAGTTGCCCCTCGTAGGCAAGTTTTTGTGTCTCGACTTTCGTCGGACACCACTTCTGAGTCATTGGCAGCCTATATTGCTAGAAAATCTTCTGCTAGCGTGTCAATAACTAAATTTAATTTCTCCACCCCTCGTGAAATATCATCATTCAAAATAAATGTTTCACATGATATGTTCCCAATCATTTGTGATCCCAAAGTTTGGCCACCACACATGATTGTTCATGAGTTCAAGCCTAAAAAGCGTAACCAGCCCTTCCAGTCCCTTCAATACAGGGTACCATTTCTGCCCAAAAAAACTAGCTTCATCTTCTGACCAAATCTTTATTCATTATCAGAATGTCAGAGGTCTCATTTCAAAGCTAAAAAATCTTTTTATTGCCAGCACTTCCTTCGATTCGGACATAATAGCATTTTCGGAAACATGGTTAAACTCAACCATATCTGATTTTGAGATATTACCCAATAACTTTATTTTGTTTAGAAATGATCGGCCGACTCGAGGTGGTGGGGTGTTAATTGCCGTTAAAGCCACTCTCCAGTCTGAACTATTTTGTTTTAGTACGCCTACTGACGCTGAGATTGTCTCAGTTAAGGTGTCTTTTCCTACACGGAATATCTATGTAACATGCTCTTATGTCCCACCTTCTTCTGATATTCAAGTTTATATGAATCATATTACTTGTATTAAAGAAGTTTCTTCACTCGTGCTGGATAATGACCTATTATTGGTGTTGGGTGATTTTAATTTGCCGAACATCTCTTGGTCATTATTCACTGCTGAAAATTATCTAGTGCCCTCAGCACAGCACGATTTTTTAGACTGCATGCTTGATCTTTCGTTGTTTCAAATCAATTCAATTTCTAATCATATGAATAGAACACTTGACCTTGTATTTGGTAACGACTACCTTATTTCTAATGTGTCTAGGTCCCCTCCTTTATCTCTTCCTGAGGATGTCTATCATCCAACTTTAGAGATTGCAATGCTAAATTGTAATCCTTTCATTTCGTGCTCATCAGCCAATATTGCTTTCGCAAAGGAAATTATTCTTTGCTGAATCAGCTTATTTATTCAACCGATTGGTCTTTCTTATATGACTCAGTTGATATGAATACAGCCATTAATTTTTTTTATATCACCCTAAGCTCACTCTTAGATGTGTGTATTCCTAAGTCAATTCCTTCGACTACTTTTTCAAAACCACCCTGGTTTACTCCCAGATTATCACATCTAAAAAATGTAAAATCTAAATATTTTAAAAAGTTTAAAAAGTCTGGTTCGTGTACAGACTTGGCTAAATATTCCATAGCCAAGTCGAACTTCTTTCTTCTTAATTCTCAATGCTATGAGAATTATCTAACTTGTTGTAAAAGGCAATTCGCCCGAAATCCGAGACAGTTTTATAATTTTGTAAACTTGAAGCGTAAATCTTCAAGTTTGCCATCTTCTTTTTCTCTTGGGATGGATAAAGCTAGCAATGACACTGATTCTGCTAACCACTTTGCTAATTTTTTCCAATCAACTTACTCTTCAGTCTGTCCTAATACTAATTCTTACCCTTATACTATTTCTTCTGCTAGTTCTATACCTCCCCCCATTATTTCACACTCCTCTCTCCTATTAGCTATAAACTCTTTAAAATCTTCTTACTCTCCTGGGCCGGACAATATTCCTAGTTGTCTACTCAAGGAGTGTAGTTCTTCCCTTTTTTATCCGTTGCTAAAGCTTTTTAATCTATCCCTTGAAACTTCTGTCTTTCCATCTCTTTGGAAAGAATCTTATATCATTCCTCTTCACAAGAAAGGTAGGAAGTCTGATATACAAAATTACAGGGGCATTGCAAAACTGTCCGCTATTCCTAAATTATTTGAAAAAAAAAATCACTTCGAATTTGCAGCATTTCTGCAAATCAGTTGTTTCCCCTGTTCAACATGGATTCGTAAAGAATCGGTCAACTACGACCAATCTGCTTGAGTTTACTTCCTTGGTAAATGATGCTTTCCTTTCGAAAATGCAAACTGATGTCATTTACACTGACTTCTGTGCACCATGACAATTTACTTTTTAAACTTGACCGAATAGGTTTTCCACTGTCGCTGTAACTTTGGATTAATTCTTATTTAAAAGGTAGGACCCAAAGAGTAATACTGAGGTTGACTACCTCTAAAAGGGTTCACGTTACTTCTGGTGCTCCTCAAGGTAGTCATCTTGAACCTTTACTCTTTACTCTTTTTATAAATGATCTTCCCTCTGTTATATCACATGCCCGTGTACTCATGTATGCGGACGATGTCAAACTTTTTTTTATCATACACTAACCCTACACTTCCACATCATTCTCGTCTACAAGACGATTTGAACGCTATGCAACTTTGGTGTTTTTGGTTGTTCAAACTGTATGTTTATGACATTTAATCGTACTATACCTTATCCTGTCAGTCATACTTTGCAACGTATACTAACAGTTAAGGATCTAGGCGTTATTTTTGATTCTAAACTCTGTTTCAATCTTCACATAGATACTATTGTTAATGAGGCAAAAGGTGTACTTGGATTCATTAAACGATGGTCTAAAGAGTTTAACGATCCTTTTATAACAAAACTTCTATACATCTCTGTTGTTCGCCCTATCCTTGAATACTGCTCTTGCATCTGGTCTCCACAGTATATCAACAGCCAGGATCGTATTGAATCTGTTCAGAAGCAATTTCTGCTTTTTGCCTTACGAGGTTTAAATTGGGACCCTAATCTTCCGTTGCCGTCCTACTACAGCAGACTGCTTCTTCTCAACCTTCCGTCGTTAATCAACCGTAGGACAATTCTCGGTGTTGTCCTTCTACATAAGTTGATTATTGGCGACATAGATTCTCCTTTTCTGCTATTCAATTCTTTGTTCCGGCTAGACCAACCAAAAATTATCGCCCCTTATTACTATCTACGTGCACAACAGATTACGCTATGCACAATTCTTTTCGCGTGCTATGTAATAATTATAATCGTTTGCATCACGTTTTCTCTACCGAACTGTCTCTACCCCTAATAAAATCGTTGCTTTCAGGATACCTTCGGGAAGTCGCTGACCATTCCCAGCTATGAGCAGGGGCATAGCTAGCCGGACAGGCTGAAAAATTTTCCACCACCGTGTCGGTGATTTCCCATTAATTTTCTCTTTGTCCTATCCACTTAACACTCTTTATCTAACTTACATTGCTTTACTTTATTAACAATTTTCTTACTTTCTTTTTTCCTATTTATTGTATTTTCTTTATTAATATAGCAAATTAAGATTATTTTTAATTTCACTTGAGATCACTTTTTTCCTACTTACAACCTTCTGCTTAGATGTAGGCTCTAATAGCGTCACTGACAAAATTAGCTGTGAAAAGGGGCACAGCTGGCCGGACTGGCAAATAAAACACCTCCATCGGTCGGTGATGCTATTTAGAAAATTGTATCCTTTAACTAGGCTTTTAGCATATAATTCTATTGTACAATCTTTTGAATAATGAGGAAGACACTCGTTTTGTCAACCATTAATAAATAAATAAATAAAATAAAAAAAAAAAAAAAAGATCTGGAAGGAGAAGCTTGAGTGGGACGAGAGCTTGCCATCATCACTGGCCTGTTGCCATGATCTTTGCTGCAGTTTTGAGAAGGCACAGTTTCTTCAATTTCCTCGCCTCGTGTCAAAACCTGCAGCAGAGTTAGAAGTTCACGGTTTCTGCGACGCCAGCATCGAAGCATATGGGGCCTGTGTCTACGTCCTTTCTCTACGAGCATCAGCCAGTTGTCAGCTGTTGTGTTCCAAATCGCGTGTAGCTCCTCTGAAAACAATCACAGTTCCAAAGCTAGAGCTCTGTGGTGCCGTCTTATTATCTAATCTCATGCGTGAGATATCTAAAATGAATCTGTTTGATGGAAAATTCTACTGTTGGTCGGATTCTTCTGTATGCCTTTCCTGGATAAGGACCGAGCCCTGCAAGCTCAATGTGTTTTTGGCTAATCGCGTCACAGCAGTTCAAGAGCTAACTAATGGCATGGAATGGCGTTACGTGCCTACTTCACTCAACCCGGCAGATATACTCTTGAGAGGAGCTACGCCCAGTGAATTAGATCAATCGTCACTGTGGTTCAACGGCCCAGAATTTCTAGTTAAAAACAAATTGGACTGGCCTGCTTCTTGCTTGTCAGAAAGGACAGAACTCGAACTTAAAAAAAGGGTCCTTATTGCGTCATCTCCCTTCGTTGATATAACTGTCACTTGTAAATACGTCAACTCAATTGATACAATGCAGCGTATATTCGGAAATATTTATAAATTCATACACAGAAGCAGGCATCCTGGACTAACAGTGTCTGATATACAACATGGGACCCAACTCTTCCTAAGGCTCGTCCAGAGAGCACACCTGTGGAAAGAGATCAAATCATTGCAATCGAGAAGAGTTGTTAAACCGTCCAGTTGTATCGCATCACTTAACCCTTTTTTGGATGATTTCGGAATTCTTAGAGTTGATGGGCGCTTGAAAAACTCTTCGCTGGATTTCGACGCTCGCCATCCAATAATTCTCCCGTGTCACCACCCCATCACAAACTCGGTCATCACACGGTCTCACAATCGGGACTTACACGCTGGTCCACGGGCACTTCTTGCTCATATTCGGTTGCAGTATTGGCCGATTGGTGGAAGGAAGACCGTATCCAAGGTGGTTGGAAAATGTGTGAGATGCTTTCGTGCCAAGCCTCGATTAATAGAGCATATAATGGGTGATCTGCCCAAAGAACGTTTGACTGCTGGTCGAGCCTTTGAAGTCTCTGATGTTGACTATTGTGGACTATTTTTCTATAAGCCAGACGTACGAAATAAAGCTCCAGTCAAATGTTACATGGCAGTCTTCGTCTGCTTCGCGACTAAAGCGGTTCACCTGGAACTGGTCAAGGATCTGTCGACAGCTTCTTTCTTGAATGCGCTTAAGAGGTTTATATCGACTCGAGGCAGGCCATCTCAGATATGGTCGGATAACGCTACCAACTTTGTCGGCGCCAAAAACGAGCTTCTGTATCTCAAGCGTCTATTTACAACTCGTAATCATATTGAGTCAGTGCATAATTTTTGCATAGCTGATTCCATTGATTGGAAATTTATACCTCCTCGATCACCGCATTTTGGCGGCCTTTGGGAAGCAGCAGTGAAGACAGCGAAACATCATTTTTATCGTGCTGTTGGATCTTGTGTTCTCAACTACGAAGAGTTTCGCACCCTAGTCTGCCACATAGCATCGATAATTAATTCCAGGCCATTGTTTCCTCTTTCAGAAGATCCAGCAGATCTAGATGTGCTCACTCCAGCTCATTTCTTGATTGGTGGACCCAGCTCATCGTTCTTTGAACGTGATGTGACGCACCTTCAATTCAATCGTCTGGATGGTTGGCAACGCGTAACGTACCTCCAACAACTGTTTTGGTCTCGCTGGCGTGAAGAATACTAAACACTGCTTCAGCAGCGCTCCAAATGGCGTGCTCCGAAACCAGGCCTATGCGTCAACGACATAGTCCTCGTAAAGGATGAAAATCTGCCGCCTCTAAGGTGGCCACTGGCGAGAATCACAGAGTTAATCGTGGGAAAGGATGGAGTCGCTCGAGTAGCCATTTTGCGCACCGCAACAGGAGAAACGAGAAGAGCTGCAAACAAGCTATGCCTATTGCCCATCAGGGAATCTGTTGAAAGCCCATGCCTTCCAACGGGGGGAGAATGTCTGGTTACGCAGCCAAAACAACTGGAGCGACCTCGCAACTGATAAGAGCAGCATCTTAATTTTATCTTATAATACTCGCTCTGCAAAGCAAGTGCCTAAATTTCGCTCTTAAGAATTCATTTACATAGAGCTGCCGCTCTTCGCTGTAACGATCGTTTTATTGCCCTAGCTTTACTTATGCGAAGGCCTCAATGCTGCGCATCGAGTTAGTTAAGTTCGTTCGCTTCATGCATTTGGTACGCATCGGCCCCTTGCATTACTCAAAATTATAACTAATATTGTTCTTAAATAATAAGCACAGACCAATTCGGGTCTGCCTGCTTCTCGTAACTTTAAGAAATATAAAACAATTTTGAACACAAAAAATAAATAGTTAATTATTTCAATTTGTGAAAGCTATTGAAAAAGCTCAATAGCGCAACAACACCATTTAAAAATGTTTAATATAGGCTTGAATATTTGTGTTAACGAATCCACAGCTTGCGCATAATATAATTTCACCAGATTCCAATCCGTCAAGTTCGTCCGCATTAACAAATAGTATCTAAAGATCACGAGTGCTTTGGATTTCTTCCCATTTTTACAAAACCACACAATACGAGCTGTCGCGTGCCAAACGAAGGTGGAGCTGCAATTTGAACACTGCAAGGTTTACGCCTGGGCCTGGGCCCCGGCCATGTTACTCCGATGTTACTAGAGACAGCGTAATGCAAAATGTGCTAGTGCAAGTGTTTTATTCTAAACGGATTACATAGGTTAGAAATTGGATATATATTCCCTCAGAATCTTACCGCAGTCTTTTCTCCTACGGCCTTCGAACTCACGACAATAATGAGCTTAACATTGAAGTAATGGCGGCAACAAGCCAAATACAGTGTGCCCGTACATTCAGAGGGCAAAAATACATACTTTCAGAATATACTTAATACTAAACAATCGATAGCTTAATTCGTCCTGCAACATCCCCGCCCCCGTGAAGGCCCTGCTTTACTCACAGCCAGTATGGCTAGTTTAGCCACGGGACGAGTCATCAGTCGCACTCGGTTGTTGTCCGCCACGCGGACGCTGGCGAGTCGAGGCACTCCATCTGGTACATGTAGAGCTCCTCCACTATGCCCTTTCGCCACTTTCTGCGTGGCACGGTCGGGTCGCATATAAACACCATATCACCATGGCGTATCGGCTCAACGCCCGCACACCATTTCACGCGTCGCACAAGTGTAGGCAGGTACTCTAAGACCCACCGCTTCCAAAAACGGTCTCGTAACAGCCGCGCCAAGCGCCACTGCTTCCTCGTGACGCATCTCTCGTTCGGCTGCTCGTGGATAGCGGGCGTGTCAGGCAGATTGGCCAGTACATGCAGCTTTGGTGCCACTTCCTTTACTGTGTTGCGTAGCACTCTAAGGACACACTGCACCATCCTCTTCCAGGCTCCTCTTCAGCTGGGTTCGCTGGGCAGTTGAAGATACATTCAATGCCTCTAGAAGATAGCTCACCCTGAATCTTCTCCGGCTCGAATACATCTATTAGCTTTTTGGATTCTCTGTTGGCCCCAACAAAGTTCTTTCCGTTGTCACTGCGCAACCTCAGTACAGGTCCGCGACGGTAAAGAAAGTTCCTGATTACGATTATACAGGAATCAGTTGACAGGTCATATGCCAGCTCCAAATGTATGGCCCTTGTTGTCAGACACGTTAACAAGGCGACCCATTACTTTTCCTTTCGACGTCCGATCGTCACAAGGAGTGGTCCAAAATAGTCCAGACCCGTAAACTTAAATGGCCATCCATTGGCCTCCAGTCTGTCCTCTGGCAAAGGACCCATTATAGGGGGCGCTGGCTGCGCTCTATATAGCTTGCACACACTACATCCAGATATTACTGTACGCAACACTCGACGCAGCTTTGTTATCCAAAATCTGGTCCTGATGTCACCAATCGTTGCACCCACGTTTTGATGCTTTTTTTCACATGGTAGTGATACACAATCAGTTCCGTCAGTGCGTGCCGGTGTGACAATATTATTGGCCTTCTCGCACTATGCGGTATACACAGTGCGGCATCGATCCTGCCATACGCACGCAAGACTCCATTGTCATCCAAGTATGGCGCCAGCCCTCTTATGTCGCTTCGATGACCGACTGATTCTTCATTGTATGAGGCTCGAACCTCGTCAGGGAACGCTTCGCATTGCGCTCGCCGTATCAGCAAGTTCTCAGCGTTCTCACACTCCGTCACGGTGAGGCCGAATCTCTCAAGCTCAGTCCTCTGTCCACGGCTCCAGCGCGTGAACTTTAAGACCCAAGCCGTCGTCCTCACCAGCCGACTGTAGCTAGAGAATCTCTGAAATGAAATGAAAAAGTTATTTGCTGCAACTAAGGCAAATTCACTCGGCATCTTTTCTTCATCTTCGTAGGATGAGTGTTCCGTGCCCGGTTCGGACTGCGGCCAGCTGCTTTTTGACTGCCGCAAAATGTTGGCCCGTCTAACCATGGGACCGTTGGCTGAGGTTCACGTGGCAATGCGGCCTCGTTGCGTCGTCTGCTGCATTTTCAGCAGTAGGTACCCATCTCCATTGGGAAACCTTTGTTGACTCCAAAATTTCGCCCACTTGATTTCCGACGAACTGCTTATATCGACGGTGGGTGCTGCCTATCCAACGCAGCACAGTCTTGGAGTCAGTCCAAAGTATAGCGTCACTGATCGCTATACTGTGCTCCCTTTTGACAGTGTCCATCAGCCTCGTTCCTAACACGGCTGCTTGCAATTCCAGTTATGGAATTGACATCGTCTTCATGGGGCACACTTCATCTTGGCACATACGAAGCATACTCGCACGTCGTTGTTGTCGTAGGTGACCCTCAAGTAAGTCACGGCTGCGAATGCTGACTGGCTAGCATCGACAAAAACGTGCAGCTGTATTGCCCGTACAGGTGTTGGGCCGAAGTAATGGCGCGAGCTCCGAAATCCTTCCACATTGTTCATATCCTGAAGCCATTTGCTAAAGGCCCGGGCGATCTCATCTGGTAAGGGTTCATTCCATTGCACATTTCGTCGCCAAATCTCACGCATTAGTAACTTTCCAGTTATCATGAGGCAGCTAAGAAATGTCAGAGGATCGAATGTTGACATGATCAAGCTCAAAAATTCTCTCTTTGTAGGAATTCGCTCTAAATTTAGCTTACATCGGGGTACTTTGTGGTACTTCATGTTGAATTTAAAATAGTCCGTGGCTGGGTGTTAACACATGCCTAGAATTTTTTCTTCAGCTTCGCCCCATCCGATGCTCCTTGCAGTCCCATGTTGGCCCAGCGCGTCAGCTACCGTTCAAACCCAGCATTTGCATGTATTTCTCTTATTCTTGTTGATATGGTGATGGCTTCGCCTTCACTATCAAAACTATCCACATAGTCGTCCACATAGTGGCATTCAAGAATAGCTTTAACCGCGCGAGGGTCTGAATCCTGAAACTGCAGGGCATTCAACGTCTTCACAAAGTGTGCGGTGCTTGGCGAGCAAGCTGCTCCAAACGTCATTACCCTCATCTCATAAACATCAGGCTCCCGGCGTTCATCGCCGTTTCGCCACAGGAATCGCTGGGCGCATCTATCCTGCGGTCGAATCAAAACTTGATGGAACATCTCTCGGATGTCTCCACAAATGCCAACGGCACCTTCCCGAAAATGGAAGCGAACAGCCGGCAGCGACTTATAGTACTGCGGCCCTTGGATAATGCCAAGATCAATATCACCAACTTTTGCTGTCGCGTCGAACACCAGTCTTATCTTACCGGGCTTATTTGGATTTTCAACTCCAAAGTGCGGAAGATACCAAAGTTTGTCGCTGTTGGCTAAAGCGACCTCATGCTGCTTCAATCGCCCACCATATCCTTTATGAACATAATCGTCCATAATTTTCATATAGGCTTGTTTAAACTGATCGTTACGCTTCATCTTTCTCTCAATGTTGACCAATCTTTTTCACCGTGGTGTCTTCGAGTATCCTCTGTGCTCGTGCATCGTCGCTGGCTGCGACTGGTGGCGTAAGCTTCACCCCGATATCAAAATAGTCGTTTACCATCTTTTGGATTGCATCCTCCTGCGAAACTGCTAGGAGGCATGACTTTGATGACGTTGCCGTCGGGTGATCTCTTACCGGCCCAAAAACCACCCATCCAAGTTCGGTGGCTGCGGCATATGGTCCCTGTGGTGCAAATCTTTTTATTTGCATTGGCAGTCCAAGATGTGCATGGTCAAGTCCAATCAGAAGTTTTGGTACCGCCCCGCGATACGGTTTCATTGGAAGACGTGCACCGTTGCCCCACATTTGGATGTCACGTTGATGCAGGCTTTGCATTGGTAAGCTCAGGTTGGACACGGCGTTCACATTTCGCAACACACGCCGTTTGCGCTTGTCCGCTCCACCCACTTCCATGCTTACCACTGTGGTCGGCTCCCTGGTTGCTCTTCCACCAAACCACTGTATATTTAGTTGCCTGCGTTCCCCTTTGATATCTAGATCGCGCAGTAGCTCGTCGTCGATCATCGTTACAGACGAGCCCTCGTCGAGGAGCGCGTACGTATCGATCCGCTTATTGGCCCCGTGCAATGTCACTGGCAATATGCGGAATAGAAGGCGTTTTCCATCCGAATCGACACAAATTAAGTTCCTTTGTTGCGTCGATTGAGCGTCCGCTGGCTGCGGTGCCCTTGTGTGAGGATCCGCTGGCTGCGGCATCCGTCCAGTATTCATCACTCTATCACCTGCTGGCTGCGGTACATTGTCACTCATGGCATCATAATCATGTAAGATAATGTCTCTTTCGGCATCCATTAACTTGGCATTCGTTGGCCCTATTGCAGACTCTTGCCATGTGTCCAACTCGTAAACACGAAAAACAATGCCGGTGCCTTTTTACGACTGTCCACCTCTTTAGCGGAGAGGCTAAGTTAAACTCATTGCAGTCCCTAACTGCGTGTTGTTCATTACAGATTGGACACTATTTGGTGCGACCTCGGTGACGCCCTTCATTATTCTGGTCAATGCTGGCATGCAGCACTCTACGCCTTTGCTCCTTACTATCGACGTCCACAATCGTACATACCACATTGGCGTAGTCCGATAACCACGCGCTAAAATGTACGACTGTTGGGAAAGGCCTAATCATAGCTGCGTGTCTGGCCCATTCCACCCTCTTGCTTGGTGGTAGTTTAGCGACCAAATCCTCCATCATTGTAGGATTAGCTGTTTTGGGCGGCCGTATCTAAAACGTAATTGTTCTATTACGTTGTTCACATTCCTGGGATGTATGAGCAACGACTTCCAGAGTCTCCTGTGCCGGAGTGTAGCTAAGCGTTGGCTGTGCAATGCCTGCAAAGCAATGTGGCGTCGAGCGGCTTGACGTTGTAGAGCAGTTATCCATAACTGTAGCCCGTTATACCATTTGCAACTGTGTTCCCAAACTTCCACTCAATGACGTAGTCAGTGCCTCACTCAAAGATGGCGATCTGCCCCAAAAAGGTAGTCCACTCAAAATTGCAGTTTCACTCAAACTTAGGCTTGAATTTGGGATTACACTCATAGTTGCAGTTTCACTCAAACTTCCACTCGACGAAGCTTCGATCAAAGCTCCGATCAAAGATTGCGGCAGGTTAGCTGTACCACTCACGCCAGCATTACTTAACTTAACGGGATCAGTAATTATACTCACATGTGCTTGACCAGTTTTTGACCTCTGCAACTCATGCTCTAGCGCCGCGACTCTCTTTATCAAGTCCATGACTTGCATACTTGAGAGTTGCGTGCTTGGGCTTGGCGCTCCTGTCAATGTGCTGGCTCGTGCACTCACTGCCGCGGCCAGAGTGCCGGCAGGTTGTACATTTGTGCCCACATTAACGGTGCTGGAGCTTTGTGGTGCGCTAACAGCGGGAACTTGCATTTGTGATACAGTGCTCACCATTCTACTTGTCCGCTTTGTCTGCCGTGGTAGCTATCTCCTGGCCATCGTTTAAGCGTGGGCTTTTCCTGGGTGACCGTTGTGTCATCCTACTCAGCTCGGAGATAGTTTCTGCTATATTTTACGGTGGCTGCGTACCAATGGTGACTCTATAACTGGGTGGAGGCCCTGCCTGTGCTGTGTCTATGTACACACACTGTAACACCAAAGTTACACCACGTCTTGTCTTCAGCGCAAGTCGCACTTACAATAAAAACTGCGAATAAAAGATCATGTCGCGTGCCAAACGAAGGTGGAGTTGCGATTTGAACACTGCAAGGTTTACGTCTGGGCCTGGCCATGGTACTCCGATGTGAATAGAGACAGCGTAATGCAAAACGTGCTAGTACCATTGTTTTATTCTAAACGGATTACATAGATTAGAACTTAGATATATATTCCCTCAGAATCTTACCGCAGTCTTTCCTCCTACGGCCCTCGAACTCACGACAATATTGATGAGCTTACCATTTAAGTAATACTAAACAATCGATAACTTAATTCGTCCCGAAACACGAGCCAATCAAGAAAGATATTTGTAGGGCATTCATTATATTTGTTATGCGATGGAAACGGCTGCATACTTTATTTTGTTGAAAATTAAGGCTTTTCGCTCTTCCCAAAAAATTATTCTAATAAATATGTAAATCTGTTTTCTTTTTTATAGATGTATGGCGGACTGAATTAAAATAGATTTTTTTTTTAGCGAAAGCTATTCTAAATCAGTTGACGGAACGACCCTTTTTGAGCCCTAATTTAGGTGTGTCAAATTAGCATCGGTGACTTTCTGTCGATTTTTGGAATTTGTAATCGCTCACTTTTCAACGCATTGTTGCGTTATTAAAATGAAATTATTTATTGTCCACATTCATTTGTTTTTTAATTACAGCTAATAATATGGGTAGACATAGGGGTTGAATAAATAAGGTTTTCACAATTCCTTAAATAACTTATTTCAGGGATAATTGCCCCGTTAACCGCACATACACGATTAGAGCCCTTAGCATCCTTATCAATTTTGAAAAAACTTATAAATCGACCAAAAAGATTTTGAAATATTTGGCAATCAGTACAGCAACCTTGTTGCTTACCTCACACAAAATGACCGAAGGAAAATAAACTTGCATTTCAACCCCATTATATTTTCTCAGCAATAATAGCCCTCAATGCACGAAATTCCAATTTGAATATATACACATATTTAAGCAAGCCTCAGGCACTTATTCTAAACAAATTGATTGACCAGGTTTTTGAAATTGCAAACACACGCAGATTTCGCATATCCCAAAAAATAAAAAAAACAGAACATGTCAGGGAGTTGACGAAATGAAGGTTCCCTAAACCCTATTTCACCAACACTAAATGCAGCAACCCGGTCGTTTGAAGTAATAAAGATATATTTTTAAAAAAAGTGCTCTTGGGAGGGTTCAAACTCGCATCTGACCGCATTACTTACTGGCGACTCTATACAGCAGCCACAAGAGCAACAAAAAAATAAAACCCTTGGAAGGGCTCGAACTCTCGACCAAATTAAAATAGCAGCACAGAAAACAATCGCAATTGCAATGCTGTTGATAGAATTCGAAGCAAACGCGCATGAATGTGTGTGTGAAGGTATAGGTATATGTGAAAGATACTTGATATATATAATATTTTGAAGCAACATATCAAGTTGTGATCGAACTAAATGACCGATCTAGTTCACAAATCACTGAATAAGTTCAGTAGTTAATTTTAATGACCCGTTCCATCTGAACTAAACGACACAACTTTATATTATTATAATATTATTGTTGATATTTTGTAAGTTATTTGTTGTTACTTTTTATGGTAAATTAGCTTTATTTTTTGGGTTTGATTTTGCGTTTGCGGACTAACCCGATCCACCGCTCATGAGCTTTAATATGGTAAAAAAAGCTCAGACTGATTTTTCAGCTAATTTTTTCCATTTATTAATCAATGGCTCCAACGGGAACTTAATCACTTCCTGAAGTCAGTGTTCAATAACTTTATTCAGCATAGAGCGGGAACAACACTTTACAATGAAACGTAATATTTGGTAAAATATTATGCTGTTAAATAAGTCAACAGTACGTTTAAGTATTAATACCCAGATTTATAATAAAATTGTGGCAATATTAAAACATATATAGCCTATAAATATTTTTTTATGCGTTAATGGCCCCAAATGCATGTTAGTTTTACATATACACTTGAAATTAACGATCATTTTCTTCTAGCCAATTTTTAAAAAAGTACATAACCACATACAATTTAACTAGTAAACCCCGCACTTAGTTACTAAGAAGCCCGCGTAAGCGCTGACACACCAATATTGGAGTTCAGCGATCTATCTGCAACAGTCAGCGGCGGTAACCGGACACTTTTGTTATTGTCGCAAGAGTTTCCGTTATCGCCTACAATTATGCTGAGTCGGCTTGCCGACCATGACGTTGTAGCGTGTTGTCTTTAGCTTAAGCTGCACCAATTTGTATTTTCTGAGTTCAGTTTTGTACTTGACGTTTAAGAATAAACTTTCACTACTCCGGCACTACTCCGGTAAATATCATTTGTAAGTAATAAGCAAAGAGAGTGAAGTCAAATTCTCCACCATAATCGGTTTAAATACCGTATCACTGGACTATGCATCGCTGGACGAGAAACGGATCAACTATCGCATCGCTGGAACAGCAGATTGATATAATTGGCGCCCAACAAAATAAGAATTCATAGCCTAAGTTAGTGTTAATACCCTAACCGAAACATGTAAGTTCACCAAAGTGCCTTCAAATACAAAATTTGCACACTACTTACTAAACTGACTACAGCAGAGTGGCTGCGAAAATAAAATTTTGAATTTCAAACAAATAAGTGAACATTATTGTATACGTCGACTTTAAATAATCGGCCACCGTCATAAGAAGCTGTAGTACAACAAGTGAAGTGTCAACTAAAAGCCCTCTTGGGATAAGCCCATGAGTTGGTCAGGCTCATATAGGGAGGTTAAAGTTGAATACGACAGCGACGACGGTTGGGACACAGAGCCTACAGGCAATAGTCAGACACTTATACAATTAAAGACGGTCATGGACGTTAACCAAATACAGGCTTTGATAGCAAATGCTGTTAGCCAAGCTTTGGCGCGGCAGAAAGAAAGTTTTCGGGCACAGTTAAGTGCAGTATAAGCTCAGATATGTAATCTTCGGGTAGAAGCACCTGAAATTGAAACATACCAAAGAGTTTCAGTAAACTCAAACATCAAATGTGACATGCCGTTAGACATTATAAACTCGATCCCCGACTTTGACGCCACCCAAGAAGAATATGTTGCGTGGCGGCAATCAGCCTCCGACGCATACGAACGGTTCAGGACATTTAACGGTAGCAGCACACACTACAAGGCTGTAACTATTATTAGGAACAAAGTCAGGGGTTCCGCAAGGGCATTACTGGTGTTACACAGCACAGTACTTAACTTCAATGCCATGATAGCGAGGTTGGACTGTACGGATGCCGATAGGACATCACTACGTCTCCTGAGACAGGGACTAGAGATGGTAAGGCAGGGAGAAAACAACAAAACACATCTGAACGAATGACAGGTGAAAGGCGTCAGCGCTTTAACAATGTTGTTCAGAACGACCCAGACCCTAAAGAAGAAGAAAGTTATGAAAAAATAGCTGCAGCCGCAGTAAGCGAAATAGAAGATGACTGCGATTCGGCATGTGGCTATGAGTCGTTACATTTCTTAGGGAACGCTCGCGGCTACCGTTCATCGAACGAAGGCTGGCTGGGAGAACACTATGAATTCTAATAGACACAGGAACGGCAAAGAATTATATAAAGCCCATAAAGGAGCTAAAAAATGTAATTCCTGTCGACAAGCCCTTTACTGTCAGTTCAATTCACGGCTCCAGTAGAATCAAAAGCAAATGCCTAATGAAAGTTTTCAACGATGTTTCTCCGTTCTTTTTACTGGATACACTCAGTACTTTTGACGCCATCATAGGCTTCGACCTGCTAACGCAAGCCGAAGTAACTTTAAACCTGCACAGCAATACCTTAGAATACCAAAATATATCGGAAGTGTTACGCTACCATAACTGCAACAGTGTAAACTTCACCGATGTAAATGACATAGTGGTACCCGGTTCCGTGAAAAAAGAATTTAAAAATATGATACTAGGAGGACAAAAAGTGTTTTCAACCTCTAAAGAGGCGCCACCTTTTAACACCGCGGTCGTCGCCACAATCCGTACGGTAAACAGAGAACCTGTGTTTTCAAAACTATATCCACATCCAATGGGTACGGCAGATTTCGTAAATGACGAAATCAAACAATTACTGAAGATGGTATAATTAGTTCTGTCGCTTGCCATTCGGCTTAAAAAATGCCGGAAGCATTTTTCCGAGGGCCATAGACGACGTGCTAAGAGAACAAATTGGTCAAATATGTTACGTCTACGTGGACGATGTTATCATTTTCTCTGAAAATGAAACCGACCATGTTAAACACATCGATACAGTTTTGAAATGTTCAAGCGACGCTAGCATGAGAGTCTCACAGGAAAAGAGCACATTTTTTAAGGAGAGCGTTGAGTATTTAGGATTCATAGTGACCAAGGGTGGGTCAAAAACTGATCCTAAAAAGGTTAGAGCCATACAAGAATACCAAGAGCCCAACACCTTGTACAGCCTTAGATCATTCCTCGGCTTAGCCAGCTATTACAGAAAGTTTGTTAAAGATTTTGCTTCCATAGCAAGACCGTTAACAGACATATTGAAAGGCGAAAATGGCTCAGTCAGCAAACACAGGTCCAGAAAGGTTACAGTTGAGTTTAATGAAACTCAGCGCGAAGCATTTAAACGCCTAAGAAACATTTTCGCATCAGAAGACGTCATCCTAATGTCACGGACTTCAAAAAGCCTTTTGATTTAACTAGCGATGCATCCGCCGATGGCATTGGAGCAGTGTTATCTCAAGAAGGCCGACCAATAACGATGATTTCCCGGACGCTTAAGCAATGCGAGCTAAATTACGCCACAAATGAGAGGGAACTACTAGAAATTGTATGGGCTTTGGGTAAGCTGCAAGACTTCCTGTATGGTACACAAGATATACGAATTTTTACTGACCATCAACCTCTCACCTTTACAGTCTCGGACAAAACACAAACTCCAAAATTAAGAGGTGGAAAGCTTACATAGATCAACATGACGCAAAAATGTTCTACAAGCCAGGGAAAAAAAAATTTATAGCGGATGCTCTATCACGACAGAACATAAATACTCTAACAAACGAGCCTCAGACAGACGCTGCAACCATGCGCAGCGAAATGTCACTGACCTACACGGTCGAAACTACAGACAAGCCCCTAAAATGCTTTAGGAATCAAATAATCCTAGAAGAGGCATGCTATCCGTTAAAAAAAAACCTCATACTCTTCGGCAGCAAGACTCGCCATTTAATCAGCTTCACTGACAAAAAAAATCTCTTTGAAACAATAAAGGAAGTAATTTACCCAGAAGTTGTAAATGCAATACTCTGCGATTTACCAACTCTGGCTAGTTTTCAACACAGTCTAGTATTACACTTCCCGGCAACCAAATTTTGGCATTGCAAGAATGTCGTATCAGATATCACAGTC